AACCAAAACCCCCCCCCCTCCCTCCTACTCCTCACCTATGTATACCCACTCCTTACCTAATACAATCATCACTTCAGATTCTCACATGGTTTCAGAGCTTATGGCTCACGCCTCACCGTGGTTCGATCCTTAGCCACCTCGCGCCCAACGCGCCCCTCCCCGCGCCCTTAAGCGCCCCTCTCCGCGCCTTTAAGCGCCCCACCTCGCGCCCATAAGCGCCCCTCCCCGCGCCCATAAGCGCCCCTCCCCGCGCCCATAAGTGCCCCTCCCCGTGCCCTTAAGCGCCCCTCTCCGCACCTTAAGCGCCCCTTCCCGCGCCCATAAGCGCCCCTCCCCGCGCCCACAAGCGCCCCTCCCCGCGCCCATAAGCGCCCCTCCTCACGCCCGTATTCGCTACATTTTCGTGCGGCGTTCTTGCCGCATTTCGACGCGGCGCTCTAGCCGCATCTCGACGCGGCGCTCGGCCGCATCTCGACGCGGCGCTCGGCCGCATCTCGACGCGGCACTCGGCCGCATCTCGACGCGGCGCTCGGACGCATTTCGACGCGGGGACTCGGTCGCATTTCGGCGCGACGTTCCGCCGCAATTTGACGCGACGCTCCCGCACCATCTTGACGCGGCCCTCCTGCCATATTTCGACACGCCGTCTCTTCCGCACTCCGTCGCCTCCTCCCCCTTTGTGCAGTCCCGGCGCCCCCGCCTAACAAGCGGGATTCGGCCGGGCTGACCTCTGTGCCGGCGTGCACCGCACGCAACTGCCCACAGCTGCCGATCGTCACCATCCGCGCTAGCCGTCGCCTTTCGCGTTGGCGCCCGCCGAAGGTTGCGCGTCGTGCAGCTCGTTCACCTACGGCGACTTAAGAGCTGCGCTCCGCGCACCCGCCTTTTCCCTCCTCCCCCCCCCCTTCCTCCTTCCCTTCCTCTCCTCCTCCCCCCTTCCTCCCTCCCTTCCTCTCCTCCTCCCCCCCTTCCTCCCTCCCTTCCTCTCCTCCTCCCCCCCTTCCTCCCTCCCTTCCTCTCTTCCTTCCCCACCAGCAGCAGCAGCCGCACCCCCCCAATCAGCCGCAGTCGCCGCATCAGCAGCCGCCGCCGCACCCTCCACCGCCCTCCACCTCCTCCCCACTCCCCTCATCAGCCGCAGCAGCCGCATCTCCCCCCTCCACCTCCTCCTCCTCCCCTTCCTCCTCCCACCAGCGGCAGCAACCGCCTCATCTGCAGCAGCCATATTTCGCCCCCTCCCCTCCCTCCTCCTTCTCCCCTCTCCCCTCATCCCCAGCAGCAACAGCATCAGCACCCGCAATTCCACCATGACCACCGAAGCACTCGCCGTCGACATCTCCACCATCGATGTCCTCGAGCTCATCGACGACGCTGTCCCTGTCAACTAGGCTACCTTTGCCCAAAGCCTCACAAATGTCCTCGGGTCCGCAATCATCAACGATTACTGCCTCCTCGACATTCTCCTTGGCACTGACGCAGGGCAGCCCCCAGAGCGTCCTGCTGATGTCTCCCCTGCACCTCCCGCCCCACCTCCATCCCCCTCGGGACCGGCCCCCACCAAGCCCTCCCCACTGGTCTACACCGATGACCCTGATCGATGGGCTCGCGTGCAGCACCAGTATGACAAGGACTTTGCGGAGTACACTCTCCTCCAGCACGCGTATGACGCAGAGCAAGCTGCGCACGACGCTGCCAACACACTTCTCCAGCAGCACAAGGACGCCACGGCTAAGTATGCTGACGAATTTCGTGAGTACCGTCGTCGCCACTCTGCCTGGAACATTGCCAACCGCAAATGTCTCGCTATCCTGTCTGCATGCGTTCCTTCCTCCCTCAAACGCGAAATAACCCCCTCCTCCGCTCCCGAGTTCTGGAAAGAGCTATGTGCCACCTATGACCTCTAGGACACCAACTCTCTCCTAGCGCTCCACCGCGCCTTCCTCGACATCAACCTCGACTCCTGCCCCAACGCCCTCTCCTTCACGCGCCGCCTCCACACCACTGCCAAACGCCTTGCCGATCGTCGCTCTCCCCTTCCCGACTCCCTCATCGTTTGCCGCCTCCTCGACAGTCTCACACCCATGTACGAGGCCCATCGCGTGGCGTTCAATGAGGTTCACGCCAGCTTCCCACCCGACTCCGCCTATGTAGCCGCATGGATTCTGAAAACTGAAGCGGAGCTTCTCCGCCAGTCTCCTCCGACGGCTCATGCTGCCCAAGCAAAAGGAGGACGTGGTGCTGGCCGTGGCGGTACTTCGGTGGGACGATCGGGTGGTGGACGTGGCGGGGGGCGCAGTGGAGGACGCGGGGGTAGCAGTGGTTCCAACAGCACCGGCGGCTTCTCCCCATGTCAGTATCTCATCCGCAACGGCCCCAACAAGGGTAAGCACTGCCTCCAAACCACCCATGCCACCACCACATGTTTCAAGGCCCTCACTGATGAATGGCTTGATCGAGGCAACACGGGCACGCCCCCTCGCTGGTCCGCTATCACTCCACCTCCCACTCCCTTTGATGTTCGTACCCTCCCCGCCTATCAGCCCTCCTCTACCTCTCTCCACCACATCCTCGCACAGCACCTCCCTCCACAGATCCTCCAGCAGGTCACGCCCCTCCTTGCGTCCCCGCAGCCGCAGCAGACTCAGCAGCCGCAGCAGATCCAGCAGCCGCAGCAGTCCCAGCAGCAGCCGCAGCAGCTCCTCCACCAGCTGCAACAATCTCAGCAGCACCAGCAGTCTCAGCAGCAACCCTCCCCTCCCTCCGCCTGGAGCTCCGGCCTCTCTGCTCCTGCTCCTCTTGCACAGGCCCCCACCGGACCTCCTGGCTTTACCCCATTTCCCTCTTGACAATGATCCCAAAGCAGAAGCGGTTTATCTTCGTCTCGACAGACCAAATCACCCGCTTCCAGTCCTCCAGCGTCCAGTCGGCATGCGACCTCGCGAAATCGAGACGATCTCGTATGTTTTTCGGTGAGAGCCTGGGTTTCTTGGGCTGTTGCACGGCGATCAAGCCCACGAATCGTAACGAGTTCCTCACGGTCTTCGCACCTACGGCCAGATCATGCTTCTCCAACAACATCTTTGCCGCGTCTACACTGCTTTTCGCCTCGCCGCTTGTAATCGCTCGTATTATTCCGCGCTGGATTCGGGTTGTGATTAAGCGGGGGCGGCCGGCCGTTGGCATCGTAGGTCGCACCTCCTCGCGACTAGTCTCGGCAGCCACTTTCAGACCGTAATCGTGCACGGTGCTCTTGCCTATGCCAAGAACTTTGGCTATTTTCCTAGTCGCATGCCCCGCACGCAACATGCTTATGATTCGCGCGCGCTTCTTGTCATTTACCAGCTTCATGGCGATGCGGTCGTATGTTCGCTTCAGGACTAACTCCTAGACTAGCAGCTATTGCGCGTGACGATGTGCACACCGAGTGACGAGCGAAAATATATCTTTTCTGTCGGCCGGTATGAAATGTCCGCATCGAGTGCCGAGGAGGAAATTGCAACCCCGCTTTTCGGTTGTATCACAATCGCGCCAAGCAAGAAACGGTTGAAGCAGAAGTCGAAAACCTTGTAACAGGATGGGAAAAAAATGGTGTTACTATTTCCGAAACAAGTGTGCCATAGCGATATGTTTCAAAGTGCCAAACATCCAGGCAATTTTTTCCGCCACTGTATGCTTGTACTACCACATAGCCACAGGTTGCCTTTGCAGTCTCACAGCTATCTAACATTGCCTCTTGTCCTAAAATGTTCCACTTGCAGGCCGCTAAGAGAGTGCTAAGGTACCTGAAAGGTGGTGTCAAGTCAGGTATCTTCTTCCAAACACAGCCCCAGTCTCAGGTCCAGCTAGTTGGCTCCAGTGATGCTGACTATGCTGGTGATTCCGCAAGTCGCAGGAGCCACATTGGGTATGTGTTCTGTCTGAATGGGGCAGCTATTTCTTGGCAGAGTAAGAGGCAGCCCGTGGTTGCAATCTCTACCACTGAGAGTGAATACATAAGTCTGTGTCAGGGCATTCAGGAGGGTGTGTGGCTGAGGCGTTTGTTTGGGGAGTTTGGCCATGATCATGCTGGTGGTGTGCCCATGTTGTGGACAATCAGTCTGCCATTGCCCTTGCACAGAATGCATGCTTGCATGGCCGCACCAAACACATGCACATACGGTGGCATTTCATTCGGGAGATGGTGGCTCGGGATGCAGCCCCATGATGACATGGTTCCCCAAGCAGATGCCGGCGTCTCGGTGCTTCTCTCCTTAGCTGATTCCATGCTCTGGGTGGCCCCAACCCTTGGGCAAGGAGGAGTGGTGTGAAGACTTTTACCCTATGGTGTTGAGCCACACCCAGCACAAGCAAGGGGGGGTGATAAATGTGTAGTGTTCTTTGGTGTAGTTTGCTCTAGCTGGTTGTGGGCTATTGGGATTTGGGCAAAAGAACTTGGGTTGGTTGGCTAGGTTTGATCTTGTTACCTTTCCAACCTGTACAACCTCACACCCACCACTACAACATCTTTGATGTTGTAATTGTGGCACTTGGGAGTGTTGGGTTTTGGTCTAGGGCGAGGGTTGGTGGTGTTTGACAATCACATACTCGAACTTTTCCAGATCTAACTGCTTCCCTTCTCGTTTTTACTAGGTGATTCATGGCTGCCTAGCCACATTACCATAATATCCCCTCACACTGATTTCATCATAATTGGCGGCTCAGATCTTGGTTATGAACGTGCTTTACCATTCTGGAAAGTAGAGATTAAGACCTTTCCAATGCGTATAAGCTTATTTCTATACGTTTCTTGAGCTGCACGCAATGTTCCATTGAAGTCGTCAGACTTAGTCTCTGATTAATTTTCTCCAGATTTGCACGATTTCTATCACGCACATCACGGGCAAGAGCAAAATGCCCGAGGAGGGCAGGGCTCTGGCGGAGGAGGGGGAGCTGGAGGGCAAGGAAGTGGTGAGCGACGAGGTGGACGAGGCTGCTGAGACTGAGGAGGATTTCGAAGGGAGGCTCTTGTGGACGATGACGAGGAAGCGGGAGAGAGAGGTGATGTTGCGGCGGATGACGACGAGGCGGTTGATGCGATTCGGATGCCCAGAGAGCTTCAGGAGGAGGGTGAGGAGATGGGGAGCGCAGTGGAGGAGGAGGAGGAGGAGGAGGAGGAGGAGGAGGAGGAGGAGGAGGAGGAGGAGGAGGAGGAGGAGGAGGAGGAGGAGGAGGAGGAGGAGGAGGAGGAGGAGGAGGAGGAGGAGGAGGAGGAGAAGGAGGAGGAGGAGGAGGAGGAGGAGGAGGAGGAGGAGGAGGAGGAGGAGGAGGAGGAGGAGGAGGAGGAGGAGGAGGAAGGGGGGGGGGGGAGGAGGAGGAGGAGGAGGAGGAGGAGGGGGGGGGGAGGAGGAGGAGGGTGAGGAGGACGAAGAGGAGGATATGGTGTCCCCACGCAAGCTGGCTGACGACAAGAAGAGCGACAAGAAGAGCGACAAGAAGAGGGACAAGAAGAGCGACAAGAATGGTGGCAAGAAGGGTGACAACGAGAAGAAGCCCAACATCTTCAAGAGGGTCGTGCTCGCGATCAAAAACTTCTTCAAGAACCTCGGAGCTCGCATCACTGGCTAGCGCAACAAGCCCGCCGACAAAGAACCACGCAAAGTGGGACTGGCTGCGGCCTAGGGATGTGGCACGCTGGGTTCCTGCGCCAGACGCACGTGCTAGTTTTTTCTCATCGACTCATTCGGTATGAGGCAGTGAGGTGCGAAGGGGCGTGGCCTGGCAGGGACGAGAAATGGGGTTTTCCTGCCAATGCACTGGGAGGTGTATGCAGAGATGGCGGGTTGTGGATGAGGGGAGGGGGTAGTGGGAGCAGGGGACTCGTTGGTGAAAGGGTTGTTCTGCGTTTGCTTTTGTTTGCTTGCATGTTAGATTTCTCGCTTGTGGGCTGGATGATATTTCTTGGCTGTGTACAGCTTATGAGATTTGATATTTTCCACCGTGCACCCAATGGAGCTGAACATGAGAACCACTGTAAGGAAATTTCCATTCCTTACCGAGTGGTACTGCTATCGCATACGCTCGAACATACCCGAAGCCTCGAGACGGTTCCGGACCTTTCTGACAGAACCGCCTTGGCTTCTCATACCTTCTAGCTCAACCTTCGGGAGTTCTCCGGGCCTCGCTTTGTCACTTCGAGACCCTTCGATCTCCTTCCCAAACCTTCACATCTCACGGTTAGACTAGCTCTGGTGTTCCTATATCTTGGCTTGCCATTCCTTGTATCGTCATTCGGTGATTCAACACTTCGTTATTCATTTCCGCGCTACTCTGCGTGTTCATTCATAACACCTAGTATTCAGAGCCACTTTTCTCACTCACTGATTTTTTTTTTTTGGGGGGGGGGGGGGGGGGGGGGGGAGGAGGAAGTCCCTCATTTAAGCTACAAAGCGGTTGCTCGCGAATTAGACTGATTAATTCGCCCAACTACGGTAGCATTTGCGCTTACTTAAGTATAGGCACACTACAGATTTCCCCTTGCCCCAGCGGAGCATTCGCCATATGGACCAAGCTCAGTTCAACGAGATTCGGGAGCAGTTCAACGCCATGAACACGCACATGGCTACAGTGCTGGAGGACAACGAGCGACTTCGTGCAAAAGTTGCCGAGTTACGCCAGGCGCGAGAGGATTCACGCCAGAAAGCTGCCGCCCAAGAGGAGGTCGCCAGCACCGACGTGTCGAAACCGTTATGGACGAAATCCCACGTGAGGTGTCTCAAGAGCGTAAGGAAAACGAAGCTGCTGCAGCAGCTGACGTGGCAGCATGCGCAGCAGCCGAAGCAGCAGTAGCAGCGACAGCAGCAGCCGCCGAGTGAGGAGCAGCTGCTACTGTAGCCGCACCGGCAGTCGTGCCGATAGTGACGAGAGCAACAATCAAACTGACAATGCCGCCCCGTTCAACCCCACAGATAAGAATACTAATGTTAGGGCTGGATATTTTCGGCGGAACTTTATTTTAATGCCGTTGGGATCACTGCTGACGATTTAAAAATCTGGCTGGTTGTATCACTACTGCAGGGACCTGTTGTCACAAGATCGAATGTCCCGAGGAAAGGTTTGCTCAATGTTGCACTATCATTCAGTACAAGGTGCTTTTATACTTCTAGAGTACATCAGGTAACCAGGCTTATCCTATCCAAAGGAAATAGACCCTTCTAGAAATAGAATCACCCTGCGTATAGCCACGCGAGGCTATTGGCTTTAAGGGATTACGGCAGGATTACGCTAGATATAGCGCGCCAGTACATCCCGAGCCTGGTCGGTGATATAATTATAATAACAGGATAAACCAAAGGATAATGGAAAATGAGGAATAGGAAACCAAATGAGATGAGATAAAGACCAAATGAATGAGGATAATAAGAGGAATGAAATAGAAAGGAAATATGGCAAGGGGAAATTGGTGTAACGGGGTCGTACTCTCACACCTGTGCTAGATTGGTGGCGATATGCATTACAGGAGGGGGAGTTTTCGGCAGGTGACACACAGGGGTTTTTCAGAAACTTTGGGTCTGCTGCCCAAGGGTCAACCGCGATTTTTGGATCGACAAAGATTCGCATGTGGAAGGCGTGGGGTACAGCTCTGCTTGAATGATTCTAGCCAATATCCGCCTTGGACAACGTACGCACGAAGCTGGACAATTGGCACCAGTGGAGTTCTGTCCAAGATTACGCGTCGGTCTTCATGGCGTTATGCGATCAAATAACCGATATGAATGACTCCGAGAAGAAGGCTCGATTCATTTTGGGTCTGAAGCAGGACATTAAATGCGAGGTTTGCTTACGCCTACCGGCGGCGTTTCACGAAGCAGTCCGGATCGCATACAATTTCGACGCGCATTGGACGTATGCGAGAGCGGGTTCCCGGGAGGGAAATCGTTTTCGCGGCCAGGATCCACGGCCCACGATTCACAACGTAGTGGCGAAGGAGCACATGGAAGATTTTTGCAAGGGACAATGTTTCAACCGCCACCAGCCAGGTCACCAATCTTACGAATGCCCCCGAAAGAAGTTGATAAAGAAGAACGATGAAGGCAGGTTGGGAAACGCCAAGCGTCAGTAGCGGTCAGGCCCCCTACTGACCCTGCCTCATCGCCCGAAAAACACCATCCCCACCGGGTGGTAGTTTCGATACACGCTATCAACCGTTCCTGGCAGAATAAAGGGGATGACCCATTGGACCACCCTGTGCTGGCGGAAGGACGACTCAATGGAAAAAAAAGAAGAAGAAAAAATCATTGACGGAAGTGCGAGTCATTGCTTGATAAATCGGGAGACAGCACGAAGACTACACTTATCATTGGAGCAGTGTCTGTCGAAATAGACGCGCGACTAGTGGATGGCACCCCGCTGGCGATACGCGACAAAGTACCAGTCGTTCGTACGAAGTGTGGCGAAGATTTCGGCTTCAGTGCGCCGATGCTAGCGACAACACTCGACTGCTACGATGTGCTGTTGGGACGCGATTGGTTACAAAGATTCAATCCGCAGATCGATTGGACGACAGGCGAGTGCACAGTGAAGTGCGACAAAGGCTGGCGAAAATTACCAACGTGTCCGAAAGTAGAGACAACCTCAATACGAGTCAACGCTATATGCCTTATGCGAGAAGTCAAGAATGGAGCGGAGTTATACGCCATCCATCTAACCGATTCAACGGAGTAGAACGAGGTGACCGACATCAACAAACTCTGCGCTTTGGTCCCAGATGACTTGGCAAAAATCATTCGGGAATATCCCGAATTTTTTCCTGACGACTTGCCAAGTGGACTGCCACCCGAACGATCCCAAGACCACAAGATCGAGCTGGAGCCCGGCGCGCAGCCTACTGTACGAACTCAATGGCACCTGACTCAGCCCGAGCTGCATGAATTACGAAACCAATTTGACTACATGCTGGCAAAAGGGTTCATTCGGCCGAGCACGTCCCCGTTCGCAGCACCGATCATGTTCACCCCAAAGAAGGACAGCGGAGTTTGCATGTGTATGGACTATCGTGCCCTTAATCGGGTAACGATTAAATCGCGCTCCCCAATCAAACGCACGGATGAGCTGATTGACAACCTTCGCGGAGCTCGCTACTTTTCGAAGATCGACCTTCGTGGCGGTTACCATCAAATTCGGGTGTTCACTGACGACTGCCACAAGACCGCGTTTCATACTCGCTACGAGAGTTACGAATACACGGTGTTGCCGTTTGGATTAACGAACGTCGCCTTGACGTTCCAGCTCACCATGAACGGGGTGTTCCGCGATCTACTCGACACATGTGTAATAATTTACTTGGATGACATCCTGATCTACAGCAAGACTCGGGAGTAACATTTAAAGGATTTGGTAGCGGTTTTTCCGCGGTTGCAGCAGAATCGTCTCATCACCAAGGGCTCCAAGTGCGAGTTTTAAAAACAAAAACTGGATTTCCTGGGGCACGTGATCTCCATGGAGGGGATTCAAATAGACCTTAAAAAAATCTAGGCTATTCAGGAGTGGAAACCGCCAACAACTCTGCAGCAGCTGCAATCATTTCTGGGTTTTGTGAATTACGTGCGGCGGTTTATACCCAACATGGCGGGGTTAACTGGACCTCTAAAGGATCTTCTATAGAAGGGGACTTCTTACGAGTGGGGGGAGAAGCAGCAAGCTGCGTTTGAGGCATTAAAAACTCTTTTAATGTCGCCACCCGTACTTCGCATCGCTGACCCGGAACGGCCCTTCGAAGTCATCACCGGCGCCAGTGACATCGCCATCGAAGCAATGCTCATGCAAGATTTTGACAATGGTCTTCAACCAATGCGTACGAGTCTCTAAAAATGCAATCTGCCGAGCACAACTACCCCATACATGACAAGGAGATGCTGGCGATCGTCCACGCGTTCAAAATCTGGAAGTGCTACCTGAGTGGAGCAGACGTGACAGTGCGAACCGACCATAAATCTCTACAGTACCTGAGGACGCAGCCGAATCTCAACCCGTTGCAGATATGCTGGCTGGACTATCTGGAGTCCAATTTCACGTACAAGATCGCGTACAGAAAGGGCGCCAACAATATTACTAACGTCCTCTCCAGACCGTCTGCCCAACTCGCAACAGTATTAGTCGCCCAGAGCAACCCGCTACTGAGTGACATTTTACATACGGGTATCTGACCAACCCCTTCTTCGTAAATGATGGCCATCTCCAAATCACTAGACGAAAAGGCGTCTATTACTTACGAAGCGGGACAGATCGAATTTGGGTCCCTAGTTATCGTCTACTTCGCGAATTACTAATTCAAAAAGTCCACGATTCAAATGTATCGGGACATTTCGGGGTTGATAAAACTCTGAAGGCGTTGCAGCGGTTCTATTACTGGCCCGATATGGTGACGGACGTGCAGCGTTACGTGGCCGCGTGTCCGATCTGCCATCGAATGAAATCATCACTTCAGAGCGCGACAGGACTGTTGCAACCCCTCGAGCCACCTCAATGCCCATGGCAACACGTCATTATGGATTTCGTCACAAATATGCCGGCCGGATCCTGCGAAAACGACGCAGTATTGGTTGTCGTCGACCGATTGACGAAGATGGCGCATTTCGCACCATATCGTACAACCATCACATCCGAAGAAACGGCGCGACAGTTCATCTTGACCGTTGTTCGCCTACACGGGATACCAACAAAAATCATTAGCGATGGAGAACCGAAGTTCACGTCGAAATTTTGGTAGGACACGTGGGCTCGGTACGGCACGCACCTGCGATTCTCATCCGCTTACCATCCCCAAAATGACTAGTTGCCATGCTGCCACTACGGACGAAATTACAACCACGTTTCTGTGGCCCATTCAAGATCGTCAAGATGGTGACACCGGTTACCGGCCAGTTGCGCCTCCCTGACGATTGGCGTATTCACAACAAGTTTCACGTCAGCCTGTTGCGACCCTTCGTACCTGACACATCGGACATCGCTCGACAGCGATTGGTCCCAGATGTACGGCCACCAGCAGAGACGACCATCGGGCCTTCAAAGATTTTGAGCCATAGGATTCGTATCGACGGTCAAGGACGACACGTTGACTTTCTGATACGATGGACTAATCGTACCAGCGAGGACGACACGTGGGTGCCTTCGGACCAGATACAGTTACTTTCGATACTTCGCGAATTATTTGGCCCGCAAGCACGTGGCTGATATAGATCACATTTGCCAAGAGGCGGGGGAGGGTTGCCATGAAAGGAATCACAAATGATAGTAATATCACATTTAATGTTGTTATATCGGAGTCAAGCCTCCACACTTTTCCGCTTGCCGACCAGTGTTACGGACACATTTGGCCAGTCACTTCGGCTAAGATCACTTACGTCGGTGAAGTTGGGTACTGTACAATTTTAGGCTAGGCTTCTGTCGAGTCACAAGGATTAACGAGGAATGTGTCGTTCGCGTCCCTTTCGCATCCCCTTCGCCACCGTCGCTTACGACTTCAGCCAATGCGGTGTTTGATAAGGCCACGCTGGCCCCACCTGTTGAAAGCCAACTCGACTACACGATGTGGTATTGCGTTCCTTCCTCCGAATTCGTCGTTTAGGGCGTGTGACTTTTTGAAAAAAAATGCAGAAGTTCTTCCCGAATGAACGTACATCGGGTGCGGACTCGTCATCATTCGAGTATCCAAAAGCAAGTTCCGAAATTGCGATTTTTGAACCTGTTTTCGACACCCAGTCGAGGGCACAACGCGGTACGGACGCGCTGCCCCGACTCAGCTATGCGACGACAAAGTAGAATCGTTAATACTTCGTCAAGGCCGTGCGACGATAAGGACTGGTCCAACGAAATCAGATGGGTGTGGATAAGTTTTCTTTTAAATCGCTTGCGAGTTACAATGCACACCGTCGGAACATGACAGGGTGTGTGGTGATGCTGGACCTCAAATGCGGACACTGTTCGGACGTGCTCGAGCGAGCCCTGTAATTTTAACGGGAGGTACCGAGATGTGACATATTTTATTGAGGGTTTTCGCGAGAAATTTCGTTCCTTTCGCGAAAATGGTAACCAACCAAAATTGCGGACCCTAGTCCCGTTATGTTCGAAATTTCGTTCGTTTCGCAAATATGGTAACCGAACGAAATTACGGACCCAATCCCATATTTTTCAAAACTTCACACGCCCTCAGGCACGATGAGCGCTACTCGCCTGTGGTGCCCGAGCCGCACTGCCTGTATTCGGTCGCTGAATTTCTGAAATCCACATTGAAATCCACTTCAAAATGTGGGACTCATCTGCATTCCAAACCAGAAGCACCTCCGACTTCCAACCATCGATTTCCCTCCTCGCTAGCACCAGCAGCGTTTATCCTGCAAACTCACAGTTTCACCCCTGCTCCGTCGCTCGACAAAATGCGGAAATCTTCCTGCTTTCTCCTCTGCGCGACCCTCCTGGCTGTCGTTGTCACCGTGGAAGGAGCCATGCCTGCCGACGCCGTAAGCATCAGCACTGAGGAGGCGGACAAAGTGCTCTCCGCCCTCCGGGCGTCTCCTTACGCCGGCTCAGCTCCACTTCTTGAGAAGTTCTGTAAGTTTGGTTACTTCCAAAAAACAGATACAGGATATTTCAGAATCCGCTTCTGTCCAGCTTGGAGCTATTAAAGACGCCTCGCCTCTTATTTCGTTGAATTTTTCGTTGAAACTGGTCCCTTGGGCCTTGAGCAATATTGACACCGCACCGTCTGCTATCCCCAACCCGCATTGGCAGTCCGCATGGTGACGCGCGTCAACGGAACCTCGAAAGCGACCCCCGTCACGGTCCTTCAGCCGATCAACCCCCTCAAGGTCGTGCGCAACTGGTGGCGCTTCTCCGCGGGCGAGCGCAGGCGCGTGGCGCGCTACCACATGCTCAAGGGCGTGTACAGCAAGTTCAAGCTGCGCAAGGCGGCGCGCTTCACCAAGTTTCCCACGTACGAGGGCGCCAAGGTCACCAAGCTGTCCGGCAGGATCCTGCCCACCGTCGTGCTCAAGGGCGGCTCCGACGTTCTTCCCGTCGCGCTCGTCCTCGGCAACTTCTACGTCAGCAAGCACTTCGCGCTGCACATCATCTCCAGCTCCCTCACCCCAGGCGACCTCTAGGCGACAGAGGCATCGAAACGCCCATGTAACCGTGCTGCACAACCACTAGTTGTGGCCACGGTGTCTGCAGAGGAATGGACGGCAGTACATCTCGTGCATCAGCTGTTTCCATCCTGGATTGCGTGCAGCCTCGCTGCTGCATCATCTATGGTGGCAACCGCTGATGGGCGAGAGGGTTGACTTCATTCATGCCCACGAGGTCTCAACTTTCAACTTTGTTTTTTAGAGCTAGTACACTACCTTGGTGTAAGAGTGCCGGTACTACGAGTGGATTCTCAAAGCCCTCTCCAAGTGCCCCAAAGAAACGCCATAGTGATTATTGTACGTCTTGGCGATCACTAGCTTGTTACTCTCGGCTACTCAACCAGAACGCCTAACAAACGAATGCATGTGACGAGGGTGAGTAGTATATCCCATACAATTCAACCACGCAGCCATACTTCAGTAATGTGACCATTCAACCTGGTTTATTGTTGAACACTAAAAATATTTTACATCTTGTCCCCACATCCTAGCAGGCTACCACCTCCCCTGCCGTTGGAATGTGTCCCACAGAGCTTGGGGTTGCCAGGGCAGAAGCAGGAGAGGGGCAGGTCGGAGAGGGCTGGGCCAGAGAGGGCGACGCCAGCCAGCTGCACGTGCAGGGAGGGGGCTGCCGCCCGCAGCAGTGCAGGGATGGCTGTTGACAGCCCGTTCCATGACAGGTCCACGGCTTGCAGGGCCTTCACAGATGCCACGCCTGCAGGGATGCTGCCACTCATGCGGTTGCGTGCTGCTACCAATGAGTGCAGTACGATGAAGCGCGAGAGGGAGGAGGGGAGCGCGCCAGAGAGCTGGTTGCTGGAGATGTTGAGAGAGAGGACGGAGGAGGAAATGCAAAATGAGAGGGAAAGCGGAGAGGAACGAAGAGGAGGGGAGAGAAGAGGAGAGGGGAGAGAGAAGGGAGAGGGGAGAGGAGAGGTAGCCGGAGAGGGCAGGGGCAAGGGTAAAAGAGAGGCAGGGACCCTGAGGACAGGTTGCTTTGGGGGCTGAGGTGCACGAGGGAGGAGGCGAGGAGGGGGGGAGAAGAGTCTAAAGAAGTAACGGTTGAACAGATCCATGTGAGTACAGCCACTGGTTGTGGGAGAGGCCCAAGTGGGTTAGGGCTGAGAGGCTAGCAATCACAGCATTGGAGATGATTCCCATGAGCTGATTGGAAGAGTGGTACCGAACATCTGGGCGTATTCATTTCAACATTGTAGCACGGTGGTTCTAACAAAATAAATCTACGTATCCCCTAAACTGTTGCCTACTACTGCAATTTGGTGAACCATGCCCCAAGATATTAACCTAGTATATAAATGCCCATCATATCTTCTTGCTGTGTATTACATAGGTCGACTGGTAGTGTTGACTGCAGCCGGTGACATGGGCACAGTGAAGAAAGTCGTCCACACGAGAAGCAGTGGGTTGCGCGAGGTACGAGGGGAGTCAGGTCCAGGGAAAGGGGATGAGGTTGACGATGTTGGCGAAGGGCGTGAGGAAGCGGTCGGGGTAGTACATGGCCACGAGGGCGGGGTCGCTCACAATGCCCGGCAGCGCCCAGGATATGCGCGGCCCAACAGATCCTGCCCCTCTGTTGCCCTGCTCAATAAAGACTGAAGTGGTGTACGTAATACCCCCCCAGTCCAGCCAACCAGCTGCCTTCACCTGGAAGGAAAAGGCAAGAGGAAGGCATGCAGAGAGTTGGGACGCGGGGTGAGCTTGTGCGAGGGCAGCACATGCACAGAATGGGAACATGATTGTGAAGACAGAAAGAGGGGGAAAATGACGCACCGTATCACTGATTGCGGTGTTGATGACAGCCACGCGCGCATAAGGCTTCCAGGGCCGACCCAGGTACGACTTGTTGAAGAAGTCGCCCTGGATGTTGGAGTTGAGGATGACGATGCCTGTGTTCTCCGTGTAGTTGGTGCGCCCTGAAGCTGTGAGCGGCGCATTGCTGTGCGGGCGGATGTGGAAGGTGCAGTTGTCCAGCACGGCCGCACCGTTGCCAAACACGAAGTCCACCGACCCGTTCACATAGCAGTTGCGATAGTACTGCCGCCCACCATGCGTGTACAGCGTGTCCTGAAGTCGGGAGAGGGAGGGGGGTCACCGCAGGGAAGGAGGGGCGAAAGTGGGACGATGCAAGTTTGCAGTGGATGGTGCAGCAGTGCAAAGAGAGTGCGAGTGGGGCAAGTGTGGAAGACATAGAGCAGGGGGGATTCACAGTGCATTGAAGTCAGGGGGTGCACACCTGCCATCCAATGAACTCGCACTCGTAGAAGGCAGCATTGTCGCCCGTCTGCCTGAACGCCACTGCCTGTTGGCCCACCGCCCCTGCCGTGTTCTCAAAGCGAATGCCGACGGCCGCAAAGCCACTGGCGTCCACAGCTGCGGGGGCAGAGAGGAGGGAGAGAGGCAGAGACAGCAAGATGTGCGCAGAGAGCGAGCGTGAGGGCACTGGCAGAGGGGAGAAACGAAGGAATGCTGAGAAAGAGGTGGAGAGGCGGGAAGGAGGGGCATGCAGCGAGTGTGGGGTCTCACCAACAGTGGGGGTGCTGAAGGTGCCGATGCCAGCAGCAACGCTGTCGTTCCACGAGATGATGGTGGAGGCGGCGCTGAGCCCGATGAGCGTCACGTTCTTGCACGTGGAGTTGACAGCCACCTTCTCGCGGTAGAAGCCCGGCTTGATAAACACCACAAAGCGCCCCCTGAAGCTCGGCGGATATGCCCTGATGGCCGCCTGCACGCACCACGTGGGAGAGGGCAAGTAAGGCCACACAGCTGAGGGAAGGGCTGGAGGTCGTGACATTGCAAGTACGCCTAGCCGTTCCCTTCCCTTCGCCTCCCTGACAAACCAGGCCTGCCTCAGCAGTTCCCCGCCTCCCCCCCCGCACCTGCCTTCTGTCTCTCTCGTTGTGGTTCCCCCCCTCGCACTATAACAAACACGCACACACACACGCGCCCACTCTCGCACCTGCACTGTGAGGAAGTTCCCCGAGCCATCCTGTGCCACGGTGACAGTGGGGGTGATGCGCGGGGCGGGAGGTGGCGGAGGGGGGGGAGGCGATGGAGGCGGGGAGGGAGGGGGGAAAGGCGGAGGCGAAGGAGGAGGGGGGGATGGAGGGGGAGGTGAAGGGGGGGGCGATGGAGGGGGAGGAGAAGGCGGAGGTGGGGAAGGAGGGGGAGGGGAAGGCGGAGGTGGGGAAGGAGGGGGGGGGAAGGCGGAGGTGGGGAAGGAGGGGGGGGGAAGGGGGAGGGGGAGAAGGAGGAGGGGAAGGAGGGGGTGGCGAGGGGGGAGGTGGGGAAGGAGGCGGGGAGGGTGGTGGGGGAGGACTTGGGCCCTTGCGGTAGGTTGTGGGGTCACTGAGGTTGAAGGGCACGCCAGTGCCAGTGGGCACTTGGGCAGTGTGGTTGGCAGTGGTGTTGGTGCCGGGAGTCGTTGCGGGAATGGAGTTGTGGGGGTCGGCCACGGTGATGGCAGTGGCGGTGCCGTTGCCAGTGGTGGTGGGGCCAGTGGCAGCGGCGGACTGCAGCAGGCGACGGCCCGTGGGCGAGGGCAGGGCGGCGGCAGCGGTGTCGTCGCCTGCGGCGATCATGTCCGCCATGTCCGCCGCTCGCTCCAGGGACTCAATCAGCGATGCGCGCATCTCCATCGCCGCTTCCTGCACACATGCCACCACCACCCGGAGTTAGGGGACATGTCCCTGGGAAGCAAGGCCAGGCGAGGCGAGCTGGCGAATGCATGGTGGCGAAAAGAGCTCTGGAGAGGGCTGAACGCAAGCAGTGAGTGTGACGGCGGCGGAATCCCACCATGCACGGCGACTACCTCATCAAGGCAGGGTAGTGAGGGGCGGCGGCAGAGGGGGGGAGCAGGAGGAGGCACTGACCTGCAGCGCGAGCACGCGGGCGTCGCTGGAGCTGCCCGGCGCGAAGAGGTCGAATCCCTCGGCGCAGTCGAGGGCGAGCGTGGCGGCGGTGGTGAGGTGGATGCGCGGCACATTCACGTCCTCGTCGCCCCGCTCCACCATGCCCGCCGCCTCCTCCACACTCTCCCATGCCACGCCCATCTGCCACGTCACGCACCAACCACACACCACGCGCAAGTTATGCCCACGAACCACCAACGCTTGCATTACACGAACTGTTACCTCTAGGAACTTGGGAAGACTGATCGCAAAACCACGGAAAGTACTCGAACGGATTGACGGCGGAAAAGAACCCACCGCCCCACTCTGCTGGCACAAGCAGGTGCCATCATCTCACCTGTTCCACGCAATCGCGCGCCAGGTTGCGCCACGCCTCGTCCGCGCCCGCCAGCTCCGCAGCTCGCGACCGCGCCACTGCCGCCGCTGCCTTGCCGGTCGTCATGTGCGCCACGGCTTCCCGCGCCTTGATCTGGAATTTGGCGGCGCGCCACAGCACCAACTCGCGCATGCGCACGCCCCACAATGCATCCGCGCTCCTTCCGCCATGCGTCCCGCCAGCGTCAGCCGCGGCGTCGGTGCGTCCCTGGCCGGCACCTGCGCCCCCTGCGCCCGTCTCGGGGGGTCCTTGGCCGGCACCTGCGCCACCTGCACCTGCGTCGGGGGGTCCTTGGCCGGCGCTTGCGCCGCCTGCGCCCGCGCCGGGGAGTTCCTGGGCGGCTGCGTCAGCTGCACTCTGCTCCACGAGCGAGCGGTCCTGCTGAGCGCCGGCAGCCATGGCGTTTGGGAGCCATGCTCGCGGAAGGGGCAGCAGACCGAGACTCGCGGAGGCTGTCCAGCGAGAGGAGCGGGCCGCGCGTGGCGCGGCGTCCGCTGACAGTGGTGCAGGGCCGAGGAGAAGGGCCGCCATGGCGGCGACGAGAAGCGCCGTCGCGCGATTCATGGTGATGGTCCTGGCTGCCACGCCACGACCACGCTCGCTGTCGCGGCGCTGCGAGGCGGGGCTCAGGCTGCTGGCGGGCTGCCTTGGCGCCCTCATCACAGCGCTGCTGGACGCAAGGCTTCTCTAGTACCACCACAAACGACTCGATCTCGATCTCAATTGTGAAATGCGAAACTCCTGATGCATGCTGCACAGGTTGCCCAGCTTTGTACTACAGCACTCGTGAGGGAGGGGCACTCCTCCGCCAGCCAGCGTCGACGGCCACACGGAGTGGCGTGTCGAAACAACAGAGTCTGCTGGTGGAGTGCAGCCATGGGTGGCAGGCGTCGCGTCGCGGTTGCCGGCCTATCGAAGCGGCTGTAACGTGTGACAAAAGCCTATCGTTGATCTCGGACGCGGAATATTCCGAGCCGCTTGTAAGCCTTCCTGTTTTTACGCATGAGCGTGCAGTCCCGCCACAAGAGTCTTAACTGTCAGAGCGCGCGGGCTTTCAGCGGGTGCGGACTTTGAAAGGCTTTTTGTCGCTCACAACCGCCGCCAGTCGGAGCCTCGCAGTCTGTCAGGCTGCCGGCTTATTGTCGAAGCGACGCTCTAACCAGCTGGCGACGTTCCATTACCGCGTCGCGCTCGCTTCGCTCTACCACGCTGCAGCAATTGGAGCAGTCAACTGCAATGTGCACCCAATGAACAGTCAAATTCAAAGCTTCGTGAAGCTTGCTATTGAACTGGCAACCGTCGATTTGGCGAGATGATACGACATCGTGGGTGGTGGTGGAGGCGAGTCGCATGTGCCGTCTGTAAAGGTACCGTCGATCTTGGCTGAGAAGTATCAGTTGAGCGTTCTGGTGCCGTGGCTCGTTCGGGTTCGCAGATGCTCTGACTGTCCCCTTGAGATGGTGCTCTTGTCAGCTGAGCTTGTTCCCGAGCAGGCTCTCCTCCCAAATCCATTCACCCCACGCGCAAAGCAGCCCCTAGCGTCAGGCTCGGGCTCACTAGAAGCGCTCGCTTGAATCATACCGAACAAACTGGTTCACCAAGCACTACCAAACCGGGCAACAATGGGGCGGGAAGGAGGGCGAACCCGAATCGCGCGCCTTCCAGCCTCTGAGGAAGGAGGAGTTTCTGACACCGTCGAGATCAATACCGCAGGGCTCTCCGAGTCAGCGTGATTAAAACGGATGTGCATTTTAGAATATAAAATACATTACTCCAGAGGTCGTCATGCGTCTCCATTTATAATGAAGCGCAAAGAGCGTGTGCCGATTAATTGAGTAGCGAGGAAACAATACAGCGAGGCAACATCACAACAACAGGGAGCCTGGATATAGCTAGGCCTAGAGCACACATTTGAGGCTCGGCAGAGCTGAGAGATGTGGTTCGTAAATTGGCGCGAAGCACCCAGGCATGAAACAGCAAGGCGGGCAAAATGCATGCGGCTTATCAGGAGACCACATTTGGGTGACGCGATTAAAATTTCGTGGGAGAGCTGAGCGGCAACCCCGTCATAGCAGTGTACACCTTACTAACTAAATCCCGGGATAAGGAAATGCCATTTACTTACACACTCAGGCTGCAGACCTATTGTCGAAGCGACACTGCAACCAGCTGGCGACGTTCCATTACCGCGTTGCGCTCGCTTCGCTCAACCACGCTGCAATAATTGGAGCAGTCAACTGCAATGTGCATCCAATGAACAATCAAATTCAAAGCTTCGTGAAGCTTGCTATTGAACCGGCAACCGTCGATTTGGGGAGATAATACGAGATCGTGGGGGGTGGTGGAGGCGAGTCACATGTGCCGTCTTGTCGGATCGTGCATCTGTAAAGGTACCCTTGATCTTGGCTGAGAAGTATCAGTTGAGCGTTCTGGTGCTGTGGCTTATTCAGGTTTGCAGACACTTTGACTGTCCCCTTGAGATGGTGGTCTTGTCGGCTGCTTGTTCCAGAGCAGGCCCTCGTCCAGGGCTAATTTTTCGTTTTTCAAGACCCAGCGGTCTCAGGATTCGCGTCACTAAAGATCCTGAAAAATCAGCCTTCCCTGGGAAATCTCTTTTTATTTCAGGATTACTTTGACCTTCAATATGAAATTCAGAGTGTTTTTTGGGACTCCCTACATATCAGCAGAACCTATGGGCACTTGGAGTACAAGCAGGAAGGACATCGATGGAAGAAACGATGGAGAAGAATACGGAACACTCGCTTTCTGCTGCTGCTGTCCCTCACGACCACGACTCTTTCCTTAATCGCGACAGAAATGCGTACAACTTAGGGAAAGTGCGCAACCTGGCTAAGGTGATATTAAGGGGTTGTAATAAGTCTGACAGCCCTGCACTTCTCTAGTTGTGAAAGTTCCACGGGTCGCAACTTGAGATTGTGCGGAAAATTGGTCAGGGTTGCGAAGGAATTGGGGGGGGGGGGGGGGAGAGGGTGGGGTTGCAATTCCAGCACGGGTAGTTTCCATGCCAGTCGGATGGCCATGATAAATTTTCGCACACCGGATTGCTCAGGGAGTTCCTCGGAAACACCCGGAATCAGTAAGGAGGTTTGTGAGTCAGAAACCCTCAAAATCAGGATTTCAGCGGGAAAGACCCGGAATGTACCTGACATTCCGGATGTTTACCCTTGAACCGAGAGCCTTGCTCTCGTCCCAATTCCATTCGCCCCATGTGCAAAGCAGCTCCGAGCGTCAGGCTCGGACTTACTTGAAGCCCTCGCTTGACTCACACCGAACCAACTAGGTCACCAAGCACTGCCAAACTGGGCAACAATGCGGCGGGAAGGAGGGCGAACCCGAATCACGCGCCTTCCAACCTCTGAGGAAGGAGCAGTTTTTGACACCGTCGCGATCAATACCGGCAGGGCTCTCCGAGTCAGCGTGATTAAAACGGGTGTGCCTTTTATAATATAATATAGTACTCCCTTGGTCGTCATGAGTCTCCATTTATAATGAAGCGCAAAAAGGAAACAATACAATGAGGCAAGATCACAACAACAGGGAGCCTTGGTATAGCTAGGCATAGAGCACACATTCGAGGCTCGGCAGAGTTCAGACATGTGGTTTGTAAATTGGCGCGAAGCGCCCAGACATGAAACACCAAGGCGGGCAAAATGCATGCGACTCATCAGGAGAACACAGTTGGGTGTCGCGATTAGAATTTCGTGGCAGAGTTGCGCGGCAACCCCGTCATAACAGTGTTCACCTTACTAACAAAAACATGGGATAAGGAAATGACATTTACTTACACTCTCCCCACTCCAAGGTATGGTCTTAGCTAAGACTGCTGACATCACAGATATTGCGTAACTGGAGATAGACTCGTACCACAGGGTAGTTCTCGATCTGTGCCAAGGGCACCCAATTGTTTTCCAAGGACGTCCGGTCCTTCAAGGACACCAGAAACTCGATCAAGCGAGGTCCTTGAGGATCCTTGGTCTGATGGCTAAGAATCTTCACAGGTTCGATGGTTGGTTTGACAAGCGGTCGGATGTTCAGATTGGCTCTATGCCGTGGTAGTCTGCTAGTGTTGGCGATGTATGTTGCCGCAGCTGCACGTGAAATGATGAGCTAACATTCTAGGTGGCAGGTATCATGTTGCGGATTGCAAATGGTCCACAGTAGGGGGGGCTTTAGAAAATGGTCCATAGTTTCCAAACTATGGGCAGTCGAAGGTTCTGAGTATCGAGCAGTACTAAGTGTCCTGCTTGGCACGTCACAACTCGTTGGTGTGAATCCACGTTGTGTTTGGAAAGAATTTTCGCTCGCTTAATGGCTCCGGCTGCCTGCTCACGTGCATTCTGAAATATTTCTGCAAACTATTGGGCTTGGGGCACGAGATTTCCGGTGTTGGATGTGATGGGCACTGCAGGGTTTTGTCCGTAGTTCAGGTAAAATGCTGACTGTCTGGTAGTGGCTGCAGGGCATTGTTGTGCGAACTCGATCAGCGGCAGTGC